CTGCATATGTGCACCTACTGTTCTTAGCACCTTCTTCTATAATCGCCCCAACTGGAAACATCTCTAATGTATATCCACAGAAGATGGATTAATTATGGCATCTTCTAAACTGCAGAATACTATACGGCAGTGTAATGAACTACAGCTACGTGCAACAAGGATGACAGTGTTGACTGAAACATGAAACTCACAAAAACTATTCCATAAACATTCAAAACAAGCAAAACATACTGTTTAGGGATACATTCTAAATGGCAAAACTGTTCAGAAGATAATAGTTACCCAGTGGTTGCTTCTAGAGTAGGGGAGAGGATGTGACCCGGGAAGTGCATAGGAGGCAAACTTCTGTTTCCTCACCAGGTTGTATGTAGTTAAACAAGTGCTCACTTTAACTGTAGCTGTGCATATATGTTGCCTGTGCTCTTTGGTATGTATAACTCTAACTCACACACAATGAAAAAATTGGTTAGACAAAAGACACCATCTACAATGTAGAAAATAACCATAGCCTGGATGTATCTTTTTTTCTTATTTTAACAATAAAGATAAGACACGTTGGGGGAAAAAAATGGGTACAGGATCCGAATAGGCATTTCACTAATAATCAGGGAAATTTAAAAAAATAAGATGCCTGGTCACATCCATTGCTCTCTGCCCATTTTCAGTGACTACCATCGCCATCTTCTTCACTGTTGGTTGTGGTATGCACTGTCCTATAGGTATCCCAACAATCCTCTCAGGCCACCTGCTTACATAGGGGAAAGGATCTGTTAGCAATGAGAGAATCCCCACACCCTAGTGTTTCCTCAAAACTTCTACAGTATTAAAGGATTGATATGCACGTACCAATCCAAACGGAAGGCTTTGGGTTATCTCATCAACTTTCCTTATTGAGAGTACTTATAAGGGCCAGTGAGGCAGCCTTCTTGAAACAAAATATTCTCCAAGTGCCTTATTGCTTCCAATGCAGCTTTCTCTCCCCATGGGAAAATTTACTGTGCACCACACTCACGTATACACAGTACTTTTGTTGTTGGTTGCTGCCAAGTCCATTTTGAATCATTTCAATGTCATGTGAGAGCAGAGTTGCCTCATTGGGTTTTCTTGGCTGTAATTCTCACAGGAGCATTCTCCCAAGGAACCACTGGGTAAGTTCCAACCACAAACCTTTTCATTAGTAGCCGAGTTCTTAATTGTCATTGTGCCACCAGAGCTCCTTATACGAGGTCTACTACTATCTTTTTTTTTTTCTCCCCATTTATATTTTAGGGCGATGATCAAATGCTTCGACCATTTATAAACCAACAGTCACAAATGTTAAAGGACTTTGGGGACCTATTTGAATCCAGCTTGTGGAAACTGAAAAATGATGTTGCTATTATAGTGAAAAAGAAGAACATTTACTGCCTACCAAATAGTGAGCACACCCCAAGTGAAAACTAAAACTGAGCTTTGAGTTGTGAAGATTATGTGTACCTAATGGGCTTAATTAATTTGACTATGAGAGCTGGATTATAGATTTATCTCAACCTATTTCCCACTTATTCAACCCATTTCTTCTATTAATTTTTAATAACACTCCTCTCCTTCAATCTGATTTTAAATCATGTAAACATGAATGCACTGGGGAAGGCATATGGGAATGCTGTACTTTCAGCATATATAAAATAGTTCTAAAAAATAATGTCTATTAAAATTTTTCAATTAAAAAAAAAAAAAAAAAAAAGGATCCAGAACCAAGGGGGAGATGGGAGATGAAAGATAACATTCTAAGCTCTGGAACGGACCTGGCTGGTGCATAACTTGGCTCCACTTACCAATTCTGTGATTTATAGCAAGTGTCTTGTGCTAAATCTCACCTTCCTGTTCCTTATGTTACATGGAAAGGATGATAGTATTTACTTAGTGTGGTACCTGGTAACTGGGAAAGCATTTATATGCTTAGTGTAAACTGTCTAGAAATTCTTGTTATTTTTATCTTTCTGTCAGACTTGGATACAATGGTTATTTCTTGCCTGTCATATTTGTATCCTTGCTTTGAACGTTTGTTTTTCTACCTTCATTTATCTTCTCTTCTCATAGGCTTATTTGAATTATGTGCAACTCACCATGCAGCACTCATCATGCACTAGTACTTATAACCTAGAACCTGTTCAGTACAGGTGCCTGGGATGGCAGAGATTCAGGCTTTGGGAGCTAAAACTCACCAGAAGTTACTCAATCTTGAAGTTGATCTTGATTTCAGATTTGACTGGCAAAGTGACAGACACTGAGTGTTCATGGGAAAGAGGCCCTTTGTGGCCACAGATTTCTAATAACATTAGTCATAATATTGAGACTTAACTGTTGATGTTAGATGCCCTTGAGTCAGTTTTGATTCATAGAAACCCTATGTACAACAGAAGTAACACTGCCCAGTCCTATGCAATGGGACAATTGTTATGTTTGAGCCCGTACTCAAACTGCTATTGTGTCAATGCATCTTGTTGGGGGGTCATCCTCTTTGCTGTTGATCCTCCACTTTCCCAAGCTTGATATCTTTTTACAGGGACTGGCTCCTCCTGACATGTCCAAATATCGAGAGGTGTAGTCTCAACCACCCTCACTTCTTAAAAATATTCTGGCTACATTTCTTCGAAGACAGATGTTTGTTCTTCTGACAGTTCATGGTACTTTCAATATTCTTCACCAGCACCATAATTCAAATGTATCAATTCTTTCATGATCTTCCTTATTCATTTTACCCACAGAATTCATCAGTATTACAACTTCAGGCTTGAATTTTTATTTCAGTTCAACATGAGAAATGCTGAGTGTGTTCCTTTTGGTTTTCTAACTCGAAGTCTATGTACATTTTATTTTAATACCTGAATGTCTTCTTGAGCTCCCCTTTGAAACTTTTTAGTCAGCTCTTTTATACTTCCTCATTTCTTCCAGTCACTTTAGCTTTTCTATGCTCAAGAGCAAGTTTCAGATTCTTCTAATATCCACTTTAGTCTTTTCTTTCTTTTGTTTTTTTAATGATCTTTTGCTTTCTTCATATATAATGTTCTTGACACCATCCCACTACTCTTCTGGCCTTCAGTCTTTGGTGTCTAATGCACCAAATCTGCTTTTGAGATGGTCTCTAAATTTAGGTGGGATATGTTCAAGGGCATATTTTGGCTCTCGTGGATTTGTTTTTTCTTCAGCTTCAGCCTGAACTTGC